TCGAACCCGAAGCGCGCGCTCGACGTCGTCCGCGCGCTCCTCGCCTTCGGCGCGGCGGCGACCTTCGCCGAGCGCGAGGGCGGCCGCACGGCCCTGCACATCGCCGCGGAGCGCGGCGTCGACGGCGCGGTCTTCGACCTGCTCCACGCGCGCGGCGCGTCGTGCGACGCCGAGGACGGCGACGGCCGGACGGCCGCGGAGGTCGCGGCCGCCGGCGGCCACGGCGGCGCCGCGCGCGCGCTGCGGGGCCTCGCGCGCGCGGCCAAGGGCGCGGGCCCCTGCGCGGCGGCCGTCGGCCGCGCGGCGCGGCGCGCGCGCGGCCCGGCCAAGACCGAGGACAGCGACGGCGACGGCGACGACGCGCGGCTCCTCGACGGCGCGGAGCGCGGCGGCGACGCCGTGAAGCACGCCGTCGTGCCGCTCGGCGACTCCGGCGCGCCCGGCGGCCGCGACGCGCCGCGGCTCGCGTACGGCCTCGGCGCGCCCGTCGTCGGCTTCTTCGTGCTGCCGGCCGCCGCCGCGCTCCGGGGCTGGCTCGTCGGCGTCGCGGCCCTGGCCCTCTTCGTCGCCGCGGCCGTCGGCCTCGCGCCGGCGGGGAGCGGGCGCTACGGCCACTGCGGCTTCGCGCTCGGGTCCGTCGCCGCGATCGCGGCGTCGTTCTTCACCGCGGGCATCCCGGCCGTCGTCGGCGCGCCGCTGACGGGCGTCTACCTGTGCCTCCTCGCGTGCCTCCTGGGCAACTTCTTCGCCGCGGTCTTCGCGGACCCGGGCGTCGTCGGCGGCTCCGCGGACGCGCGCGTCGCGGCCATCGTCGACCTCGCGCGGCGCGACGCCCTCGTCGAGGGCGCGCTCTGCCCGTCGTGCCTCGTCAAGCGGCCGGACCGGTCGAAGCACGACCCGACGCTCGGCCGCTGCGTCCGCCGCTTCGACCACTACTGCCCCTACGTCGCGAACGTCGTCGGCGAGCGCAACTACCGGGCCTTCTACCTCTTCCTCGCCTTCGTCGTCGCCACCATCGGCCTCCACCTCCTCCTCCTGCTCCCGTCGCTCCGGCTCTGCGGCCTCGACGCGCGCGACGGGCCCCGGACGGAGACCGGCAAGGTCTGCGCGCTCCACGGCGACAACGCGCTCGCGCTCGTCGGCACCTTCTTCGCCGTGCTCCACCTCATCTGGGTCTCCTGCATGCTCCTCATGCACTCGACGCTCGTCTGCCACGACCAGACGACCTACGAGTCCATCCGCGGCGTCGGCGTGGGCCACCCGGACAACCCGCCGTCGTGCCGCAACTGCCGGCGGAGCCTCTGCGCCGACGGCGCGGCGGCCGTCGACGACGCCGCCGCGGAGGTCGAGCTCCAGCCGCGCGCGTGAGCGAGGTCGTGTAAGCGGCTCGCGATTTTACTTGTGGTGGGGCGAACTAGCGCGCCCGCAGGCGCAGGGGGAACGAGACGAGGGCTTTTAACGGCGGGAACTTCGTTGGCAGGGAGGCTGCTGTAGCGCCCAACGTCTTCCCAGGTTGAGCCCGTGCCGCCGTTGCTCAAAACAAATGGAGCTAATTGTTTCATCTTGTATATGATGAGATCATCTGGAGTAATTTGATCTTCGTTGGGAGTCAAGCCCAAAACAGTGAGATGTCCCTCGTGGACACACGCCACCAGCCGAGATGGGCAAACGGGGAGAGGGTCATTTTCAACCCACACATCGTCTCCTGTATCGTAGACGTAGACGCTGTGTTCCTCATCATGGCGCTGGCGGCCGCGGCGGTGTATGAAGCCTAAGCGTCTCTTGCACGCAAAGACGTAGATGCACTCATTGTAGGAAACGGTGGTCAAAATCTGTTCTCGTTTCGACTCGATCGCAGTCAAGGGAGAGCCGAGGGACCAAGACCGCGTGGCGCTGTCATAGATTTTGAGCTGGCCGCTGTTCCGTTCCATGACAAACGAACGCGTTCCGACCTCGCACCATCCCCACGGGGGCGGCACCAATTCCGGTGGTGCGAATCCGAGAGCCGGCAGATCGTGCGTCAGGCAAAGCAGCCTGTCCCCCAGCTCGCCGAACATCAGGAGCAAGCCGTGCTCGGCCGCGCCGACCGTCTCGCGGAGCCGCGCGAAGTCGTCGCCGAGCACGATCCGCCGGAGCGTCCGACACGCCCCGCCCAGACTCCGGTGGTCGGCCGCCGGCACGCGCACCAGCGCGAGTCCGAGCAGCGACCCGAGGCCGAGCAGCTCGAGGGCCGCCGCTGGTTCGTCCTCTTCAGCCATCGATGCGCTTCCACGAGTGCGAGCTCCAGAGGTTGGAACCGCGGGTGCGTCGTGTCGCGCCTCACAGTGGCGCGGCGTGAGGCGGTGCGTCGGGACGGCGCAGACCGAGGCGTCGCGAACGGGGCGTCGCGCGGGATGTTTGCGCGCGCGGCGTCCGGGACCGGTCGTCGGGACGATTCCTGCTGTGGCGAATGCTTCCGTTGCTCATCTCACGCGCGCTGCCCGAGGCAGCCCCAGCGCCGATGGCGCCGTCGAAGCGGACGTCGTCGCTGTTCCT